CAGAAAAATTGCACAGCGCATGTTTAGAAACAAATTTGGGCCTTGGGCAAGGCCAGCTTCAGTGCGATTGAGGTTCTTGTGGATACGACCACTGGTGGCCAGCGCCTGCCTACGGAGGAAATCGTGGATCCACCCTTGAATCACCGAGAAACAGTCAACCCCAAGCTCAAACCGTCGGAGATGACCTTGGAAATCCCTCCTAACGATGTGATTCGCATCCGGAGAAACCTGCCAGCCAAGGAAGGAGACAAGCTGAGCAGCGGCAGGAATTCTGACAGGCCACTTCTGCAAAACAAAATCCAAGGGGGCCTGGTCCAGCCATCTTGGAATAGTTGAGTGGCAGCGAACAGCGGCCTTGACGATGCACTCCATCATTGAACCTGCCGCCCAAGAGATCATTGGAGTGACGAGTTGTTTCACAAGTGATCTACGACGGTGCTGAGTGGTCGGAAGGTGCGCAATGGCACGCAGTCTGCCTCTCAGCTTAGCTTTCTCCTCAGCTTTGAAAGTGATGTTCCACTTGACTCCAACCTCATGACTCAGGCCAAGCACGGTGAGTCGGTCCTTCAACGTGTATCCAGTGGCCCCAACAATGGCATCCGACACGTCGCTCTGTCTGGCAGCCACTGAGCACTTGCAAGGACGACAGGTAAAGCCCGACGCCCGGTCAAAGTCGTCACTGCGCACCTTCGCTTCCAACATCGCCCTGACGTGTCCTTGCCGCTGAAAGAGGAGTCTGTCATCGACAAATGAGACCGCCTGAACCTGGCTCGCCTGGGCGGTGACTTGTGCGCTCCACACCCTCATAAACGTCGCCGCCAACAGTGGACTCAAGGGGCATCCTTGAATCAGGCCTCTAGTGGGGCAAACCTTACTAGGGTGGGTTATGCCCTTAAAGGAAAGATACCTCCATGCACCAGCATACATAACCTCAATGAGGCGGTGTACCGCCTGTGGCATCCTAAGGTGTGTGAGCACCTCCGACAGCAATCCATGATGCGTCGTATCAAAGAACTGCGACAGGTCCTGCGAAATGAAGATAGCTTCACTGTTGTTCACATGAGTGACATACTGATGAATGTCAAGCACGCTGGAGCCATGAACTCCTCCGAAGACAGTGGCATCGAGCCAGCTATCGGCCCACTTTCGGAGTGCCCCAACTATCCACTTGGATCCGATCCTCCAGCCGAGGGAGGTAAGACCGATTGGTCTCGTATCACCGGTGTCCTTCTTTTCAAGCAGGTGAATGTGTATGCCACGCCACTTTGCCGGAACACCTTTTCCAGCAAGGAGTTGACGCCACATCGCCGCGAAAGCCTCCCACCACTCCGTGGGCAAACGGAGAAGGTCCTCGGCGGCCCACTTATCTAAACCGGCGGCACGCCCCTTCATCGACCGAGCACATCGAATGAGCTCATCAGCCGTCAAGGGAGGCAAGCACATCGAATCAGGACGTGGAACTCGATTTAACATCTCCCGGAACGCGCGCTGGTCAACAGGTTGAGCCTTCCAAGCCCGAGCCCACTGCCGCAGTGCACGGCGCAGCACGTTGGCGGGGTGGATGGCCTGGCATCGCAGCTGCTCCGCATCACCAGGTCGCGGAGCAGGCACTGGCGTGGCTTTGGCCAAAAGGCCACTGTACTTATCAGAATCCCAATGTTTGTGAAACCGTTGAACCACTTCTTCCGGAGTGCTCGAATCCAAGGCAGCTCTGGGGCGAAGTTTACTCCGAAGCTGGAGGACTGAGACATCCATGGTGTAGTGAACTAAATCATGATTTGCGGGCCCACGGGCCTGCCTGTACCTTATCGCATGCATGTTTTGTCCAAACCCAAAATCAATCCGCCTAGTGCAGGTCGGAGGCAAGGGCTCGGGAAAGTCGTCATCGAGGCAATGGATACCTTGCGCCCAGGTCGCAGTAAGCTCCTCTGGCGTCAGGTTCCAATCACCCACGGCTAGCCACGGGAAGCCGCACCCTATACAACCCTCAGCAACACAGTCGACTAACGCTTTGGCAGCGACTGCATCTTGTGCGTGTCCGTAAGCAGAGGCGAAGGTAAACTTGTGAAAAGCTCCGCCCTGAAAAACCTCGGCAACCACCAAAACTGCCCGAGTGGAGTCTATACAGACGGCTGTCGAAGGCAGACGAGATAACAAAGCAACTCGATGAAATCCAACCGATTCGTCGAGCTGGCTCAAATGAACTCTGTAACCAGAAGCCTTGCATGTTTTAACGAAGGTGGAGCGGCTCGGAGCGTTCAAGTCAAGCTCCTGCAAGGCAATAATTTCGGCTCCGTTAGCAAGGCTAAGGGCGGAACCGAGGCGGGCGCAGCCAGTACGCCCCAAATTCACGGTGACCACATTCAAGGGTTCCACGACTCATGCATGCACACTGCGCTGCTGGCCTGATCAAACAGGCCCCGTACTGATTTCTCAGTGAACCCATCCATGAAGGGGTGCTCCTCAGCAATCATGGATAGAGCAAGAGTTCTGTCTCGCTCAAGCGTCTTTTTCTTGCAAGCAGTGAAGTAATCCGGCTGCTTTCGACAATGATGTTTGTTAGGCTTGGCTCCTCTGTAGTACATGTGACACTTCCGGCATGTCCAGGCCGTGGCCACCGAGAAACGCTTCACCTGGCCGACCTGGCCCTTTTTGTATCGAAAGTAGGGCCAGCTCACATGGCTCCAATCGCGTAAGTCCTGACGCAGCCGTGTGGCCACAGCACGGTTGAGTTCGGTGGCCCGTGCCTTTGTCCGCAAGTGCTTTGCACGGACTGTCTGCGCCAACGTGTGTCGCTTCCATGCTGGAATCTTGGCTCTGGGATGTGCCTCGCTCTTATGAAGCTTTATCGCGTTTCTCAAGCGATAGCCTGAAACGTCTTCCGTTGTGCCGACTCCACAGAGCTTGCATTTCCATCGGATTTGCGAATCAGGCGTATCCCCAAGCTGCCTGAGCTGGAGCCTCGGCGGGCGAGAAATCACAGGCCTCGCGCATCCAGGATGTGACGATCTGTAGTGTGAAGTAGCAGCATCCGTGGCCGATTTTGCCGAGGGGTGTTCGCTGACAAACGGGCAGATCTGACAACGAAAAGTGAAGCTCTCACCCTCCCTATAGGCAGACCGGCCTTTTCGAGGATCAATGCTCTTAGCTTGTTGTTTGAGGCTCGAAGATGCTGCTGAACTTTCGAGGTCAACTTCACAGGAGTTCTCCGGGTTCGGTGGAGCTAAGGGGTCGGCCTGAGCATGTATCGCGGTGGCCGCCAGTGGAATCCATGGGCACTGCTTACCCAAGAGACGTCGTCGAGGGGCTGTGATCACCGGGCGGGTGACGGCCTCAGGAAATGGCATACCTGAAGCAACCGTGGATCTACAAAGCATGCGCGAATCAGCAGATGTGGGCCATGAGCGCGCTGTCCCTCGATGAGCTGCTGCAGCGCCTGCGGGTCGAGAAGGCAACGAGGGTGCCTTGCTTGTCGCCTGCACCGCCATCGCCACATCCTCCTGAGTTTGCTCACGGCCACCTGACATACACATCGAAGGCTCGGGCTCAGCTGGGTCGAAATCCGACAAACGAGGAGTCCGCATATGAAGAGAGACCTCCGAATCGAAATCCGAGAGCCTAAGAGAAGACGGTTTGGGGCTGCCGCCTCGCAGCAGAGCATTGGGTTCGCACCGGCCGCGTTCCCGTTGCTCCTTTAGCTTCACACACCACTCCAAAGGATCGGCATCTGCTAGAAATTCGTAGTGGGCATCTTTGAACCACAAATAAATGCCCTGATCACGACCTCCTTCATTCAGGACCCATATTTTGCCCTCTGGAGTTCCTATCCACACTTGCACGCGATGTGCCTCAGCGAAAGCCAGAGTTTCCAAGGCGCCGCCCCAATAACCAGGGATCTTTTGCAGATTCAGATACGCCGCGAAGTCCACAGTGTCAGGCTGAGGTTTTCCTCGGTCATCCGGCCTCTGTTGTCCGAGCCACAGTTCTTCGAACTGTGGTTTGTTTTTCTGCATGTGGCTGATAACGAAGGCTCTGATGCCTCTGTGCGATCTCCTGCCTCCGTCTCTGCTGGTATCTCCGAAATGATTTAGAGCCTGAGCCAGAGCATGATATAAGCAGTCGCCGCGACCCTCGTTCGACGTGATGGTACCTGAAGGCTTCCAATGCTGGGCCGGGGTTTCCTTTTTGGCCTGTTTGGCACTGGCTGCCGCCGAGCACTCACCAGCGGCACGCTTAGCGATCTTTTCATCCGAAATCTCAGGCTCCCCGTCCTTTGAGAAATCCATCACCATGGTCTCGCCTGGTTCGTCGTCCTGCATGTCGTCCTCATAACTCCAACCTTGTTGCCACCATGCGTCTTCGGTCACATCCTCTCGAGCCTCCTTGTCAAACCGGATGCGGCGCTCTGGCTTCAACGGCTTGCCCATGGCACGTTGAGCATGCCGCATGTGCTCCAGGATGGCCTGTACCTGGAAAGAGCGGTCATCGTCTTCGACATCTCCAACAACAGCTTTGAGATCGTCATCTCGTTTGGCAGTGAAGAACCACCGAGCTCCAGCCCTTGCAGAATGCTTGACAGTGATGGACACATCCGAAAACCCCAATGTCAGGAGCATATGCTGGACCGTGTCTCTCCTGTATCCGTGCGGGATCCAGTGTATGGACCACTTGCGAGCAGGAGTAGAGTAACGGGAATCCTTTTCGGTGACTCTGATGCCCAATTGATAGTCACCTCTCACCACTCCAAAGGAAGTGTCCTGAGCAGCCCGGCGGAGGTATTCCACCCAGTTTTCGGTGCCATTCCACTCGACCCAAATGATCTTGGTTGCCTGAAAAGAAGCTGGGGGCTCCCCAATCGACGAAAGGAAGAAGGCCAGTTCTCGGGACTGCTTCCCACTGCACGACAACAAGTGCACTGCAGTGTTGGCGTCATGTATGCGGGCAAATCCCTCAACGACTCCATGCTTATGCTCAGTCCACTTGAACGTGTCCCCAAGGTCCTCCAAAGCGCCCGGAGCGACGGCTCCCAGCCACTTGCGAAACATGTCGCCCGGCCTCTTGCGCACTTGCTCCCAAGCCTTTGGTGCAAAACGCCACTGAAACGAGACCCTGAGGACATGTGAATGGTCATTGGCTCGGGCCGGGACTTTGAAGGGTGTTGCTTTCTTGGCCCTAAGGCTGGGAGGATTCTCACCGAGCGTCAAGACCCAACAAGTCCTGCACTGAATCTGTGTACCCAGCTTTCCTGAAACCTTAGTCCGGGTGGCACCCGGGGCAAAATCCTGCAGTTGCTGTGGGAAATCCGCGACGGTCATACACTGTGCATCGGTCAAGACGACCGTGACGCGACCCTGAAGACTGCCGCCTATAAGGTGCATGACATCCACGGCCTGATCGACAGATGGAACCTGGACCAACCAGGCACCGTCGTCCTGATCATCAAGCTGCCTCGCGAGCTCGTCAGGCGACGAGGCAAAGTACAGCGGGTCTTGCCCCGCCTCCCAATCTTCCTTGCGAATCTGCCACTGAACAGTGGACCATTCAGACCAGCGTCCCCAGCGAGAGTTGGCGCGGCCTGCATTCGTGGAGGCCTGGGCCCAAGACTCTTTGGGATTCCAGTCCTCGGTACGATAAGCTTCGCGATTGCTGAAACGCTGTCGGCGCCACGGTGCCTTGGTGACAGCATCACTGGGCTGCTTGGTGGCTTTCTGCACCAAGCTCTTGAGTTCCTGAAGCAAATTGCCTGGATTGTTGGCCAACAAGACGGCCAACTGTGCAATCAGATCCTTATGTTCTTGCCCCTGTTGCTTTTGCTTGCCCTTGCCACCCCGAAGCAAAGGCAGTGAGCACCGGCAATCCTGAGGTTTGCCATCGACCTCCGCAGCGGAGACTGGCGCCTCATCACCATGGCAACGGCACGGAGAGGAGGCAGGGATCAGGGGAGGCCCAAGGGGCCCATGGCACTGCGCGCTACCATCGGGGCCTTTGGCCTCTTCGTCGGCTCCCTGGCTCTTGATTCTTCTTTTCTGAACATTTTGCAAACCAATCTTGTTGCCTCCAGGGCTCTTCGTAACTGTTCTCGGTGCTTGGGTCCGGTCCCGCTCAGCACAACAAAGATCGTGATTCCTACAACATGAGCCTGCGGTCCCACCTTGATGATCACGATCAAATTCACGGTCGAGTGTGTCCTGAGGCTGGCGTCTCCTTATGGCTGGCTGTGATACCAACCAGAGAAGCTTTGGACGTTTTCTCCAGCGGCGCCTGCAACGGTGCCGATTCCACTTGAATCTGCGACCCGCCTTCCACTGGGCGGCAAAAGCACACAGCGTGTTGATGTGCCTTTGAAGAACTGCATCCAACGAGGGCCTGGGGATCGGAACACCTGGGCCCCAGGGCCTGATCAATCTTCGCAACTGTCGCCTCTTCCACTTGCACTGTGCCCCGGCTAAGCGAAAGGAGGCGGGTTTGATACGATGCCGTCGGCGACCAGGGGAACGGCCCCGGCACACGACGACTGCACTCTGAAGGAAAGCATGGAAACCCTCACCCAAGCTCCCCAACATAAGAAGGAAACTGATCGGCCCTGGTTCCCAAGTCAAGGCCACGTGTACTGCGGTGCCTGCGAAGGCGAGGTAGAGCGCAACGCTTGCCCAGAGGCAAGCAGCTGTCCATTTGTCGAATTTGCGGAACATAGCACTAAACCCACAGTGCTTGTCGATGCTTGTTAGATTTTTGCACTCACGGATGTACGCGACCAGCACATGCTTGCCGTTCCTTGCGACAGCATACAAATTGATTTGCTGATTAGCGGAGGTTTCGGCTTCCCCTTTTGCTTCCTACGCCTTGGCATTACAAGTATGCTGAAGTATGCTCGTCTGTCCACACTTGATTCAGACCCAGGGGCTTGATCAGCGTGGCCTCGTCCAAGGACAGGTCCGCGTATCTGCTCGACTGGTCCAGCGCCCGGCGCGCCACGCGGCTGTCCTGCCCACAGTCAGGAAGCATGCCCGAAACCTCGAGATGATCCAGCGCTGCTGGACTGTGAAGACATGAGCCCTGACATCGTGAACAGTCTATCGTCCCCCCTACACAGAGGAGAGGTTGAAAGATGTTCAGACGTCTGTGACCTGAACCCCACACCTGAACCAGCAGTTCGAAAACCTGAACATCAAGCCAGAAGCACAACTTTGAACATCAATCGTAGCTGAAAGTGTTGCAGTCATTGCTCTGACAGCCACAATGAATCACAGTTACTGACAAAACAAACGACACGGCCGCGACAGGAGCAACCACAAGACAAGCAAACAAATTACAAACAACAGCTGTGGCACCGGGCCCTCGGCCGAATCGCACAGAAGTTCTCAAGGATATCTTGTTCAGACTTTTGGGGCTGGTGCTCACTTCACCTATTTCGAGAAGATCACAGTACTTGTCACTCTTGTGCTTGCTACTGTTTCTACGATAGCCGTGATCACTGTCGAGCTTTGTACTTGAAACTCGTTTGCTGACTCTAGGTCATATGACTACTACAGGAGCTTCGCAAAGCCCGAGGCTACTTCGGACTGAAAGCTTTAGGCTACGGTGTCTACGTTTCAGATCTGGGTCAAGTTGCTGCTGGAGCCGTGCTCCCGCTACAGGGCCTGCCGGGGTCCTTGACCGGCACCACGGTTGTAGGAAGGATGGAGCTTCGCGTCTGGCGTCCTGTGCAGTGCATATGCGAAGGCCTCAAACTTTAAACCCGACGAGTGCATCTCAAGAAAGGGAGCTGTTTTTGCCTGTTTACGGCTGCTTTTCTCACTGCTTCTACACGTGGAATCTCATACACCACAATGAGCTAACACCGAGGGAACGTAGCTGCTGTCACTCCGATCACTGTGGCCACCACCACCGTCGTCCACCCGTTTTTATCTTCGATGTCTGTTGCTGGCAGCACCAAGTCATTCGCTTGGCACTCTATGCGGACATGGCAGGCCTCGCGCGCGGCTTTGCCAGGCGGCGGCTCTGCCGAAACTCGCCGATGCATTGCACTCCATGCTAAGACACCGGCCGATCACATGATGCATAAACTGGCTCGAGCAATCGAACTAGCTAACTAGCATAAGGCTTTTCTGCTTAGCCTCGAACGTCGATTTTAACAAGTCTAAAGTTCACATGCAGTTCTCACTGGTGGCCACAGACTCCGTGTGAGACTGGTGCTCGCTGCTTTGGGTCTTGCTCTTCTCGGAGCTCTGTGCCGGTCCGTGGAACATCCCACCCATCTCGGACCAGTAGTAGCATGGGCTCAGCAGTGCCCAAAACATGACATAGCCCGCATGGACCTGAGTGGTTATCAAAATTATGGTCTTTTTTGGGTACCCTAAATAGTACGTGCCGTATTAGAATAAGGACCCTAAAAGGAACCATAATTTTGACGACCACCCACCTGGAAAGGCAGCAGAGCATCCTCGATCGGCTTGTAGAAGCAGAAGCCTGCAATCACGGCCCCGAGATTTCCACCGGCACCCACAAGCGCGGACACAACTGCGAGCTGCTTCCTGACATGCGCATACCACCACGTGGTACAAAAAACTACAAAGATCAGTTGTTGCCATGATCGCATTACTTCACACCTTGATGTGCCGACCTGTCCCACACTAATGCAACAACAGGTGGCAACTGCAAATCACCTACAGTCTTCCGAGCACTGATCCAAGCTTCCGGTTCATGAAGGGTACGATGCCGTAGGAGGTGCCCTCAGCCATCTGCACAAAAAGCGAGAAGCAAACCAAGACTGCCAATGCCACGTACCAAGGCTGGGAATTGTCCACGTTTCCGAAGCTGAATAGGAAGATAGCTTCGAAGAAGAGTGCCAGGAACTGGGCCCAAATGCGGCCGCGGAAGCCGAAGTGCTTGAAGCACACATCGCTGCTGATGCCTCCAAGTGATCGAGCGAAGAGATTCATGAGGCCGAAAGAACCCGCCAGGGCGCTGGCATCACCTGCATCCATCTGGAAGTATGTCCGAAAATGCGTAGCCAACTGATTGTTCATTGCGAGCTCTGTGCCGAAACAAGCGGAATATTGGAATATCATGATAACGACGCGAACGTCACGCAGCACCTCCACATAGTCCCACATTGAAGGCTTTTGTGTCTTTCCGGTCACGGTCGGATCGAAGTTGCGTGCCGTAGGCATATCCCAGCACAGAAGTTTCATGCAAATGGCGCAAATCACAAACATGACGGCTGGCACCGCCATGGAGACACGCCAAGCGACGTTTGGCTCCAGCCCGGACGCCACCATAGGATTGAAAAGTACCGACATCATAAAAATCTGGGTCACGCCGCCTCCCAGGTTGCCCCAACCGGCCGCAGTGGCGTTGGCCGTGCCGACAACGTTGGGGGCAAACATCAACGAACACCAGAACTGATTGGTCACGAACGTGGCGCCAGCACAGCCAATGAAGAAGCGGATCAGCGTATAGTTCCATGGAGCCGAAATCGCGGCCGCCATTGCCACCCAAAAAGCGCCGAAGGACAATAAGCCGCACTGAACGTTCACTGGGCCGAAGCGCTCCAGCAGCGTCCCCAAGGCTATCCTCACGAAGATAGTCGAGGCAACCGATGCTACGCCTGCGTTAGCAATCACCGAATTGCACTCTGTGCCCGGGGTGCACACGCACTTTGTGAGCACCTGGGGCCTGTACTTCTCCTTCTGCTCAGCCGTTGAGTCGGCGCCGCTCACCACATCTGCGGGGACGTCGTTGCAGTCGATCAGGGCGCCATCCTCCTTAAGGACCCCGTACTGGCAATAGCTCAGCCCACTCTTCAAGTTCTTGAACTTCAGGTAAGCTGGTCGCGTTGGAAAGTCCGTAGGAGGGAAGAGCTGGTTCTCGCACGTTCCCATGCTGGTCGCAACTTCGAGGCCTAAAGGCGCCAAGGCAAACCAGCCTAGGAACGCAAGGAAGAAAGAGATTGTGCTGGCCCAGAAGGCACGCATGTGCGGATTTTGCTGCACGGTGCCGCAAACCCTCAACAGCGGCAGCTCCGTGGCCTTCTTGCTGGAATCCACTGCCAACTTGTACTCCATGGTTCTACAAAGCAGGATGACACTCTCTGTCCTGGAGGCTAGAGCTCGAGCACCAAAAACTTGAGCAAGAGAATGAGAGGCTTTACAGCTTTTTGGGCTGCTAAGCTTTTCGGTGCCATTTTTGCAGTTCTTCCACATTCTGCTACGATGCTTTTGCTGATATGACTGCTGCGATCATCTCTCTGCTACCATTATCACCGCTACCACAACCGCCACCACCACCACCACAAGAACCAGCAACACCACCGCCACAGTCACCACCACCATCACCATGCCACCATCCCCTTCTTTTCATCGCCACCATCATGGGCAAGCAATCGCAAAGTTTCTCGCGTTTGAAGTTGGAAGCACGGAACTCAATCTGCGCAGTCTCTGCACGCACACTTGACCTAAGCCGCTGGAACAGATGCATTGGAGATGTGGGCCTGGTCGGCTGGCAGCGACAGCTGCTGCAGCCACGGCTCCACCGGCAGCGAGAGCCTCACTTGCGCCCCTCCCGCGGAGATTTCAAGCAGAACGTGCTTTGGGGCTTTTTGCTTGTCGATCAAGGTCCAGGTCAGGCTCCCCCAAGCACAGCCTGGTCACCCCTGGTCACCCATCGGAAAGCATCCAGGAATTGGAAAAGTGACTGCTGTCTTTGGCAGCGCATTACGGTCGTCATAGTGAACTTTGAGTCTGTTGATGATGTCGATGGTTTAGATCATCCAAGGCTTGTCAAGGATAAGAGTATCCTATTGTACGATTGCAAAGAGGGTGAAGTAGCACGTCAAGCTTGGCTACATGCTCTTAGACTTCTACGGTTGGGAACATTGCGAGCTGCACACATGTGATCGTGATTCTTCCCTGCTCCCCTTATGCGACTCTGAACTCAACTTGCCAAGATCGGCAAAAGCACCAAGCTTCCCATCAAGAACTGTCTACACCTATATGCGCCCAAAAGCCGAAAACACGACATGATCTTGGTTCCAAGGCACAGAGAAGGACGAACTCCCGGCAGCCTGAGCCTCGTGAAAGCTGGAACCCTTCAGAAACGCAGTAGCGGTGATGGCGATGAAGAAAACTGTGCTGCACCGGCTGCATGATGGCATGACTACGCCCTGTTTTCTCCGTCACAAGTTTTGCTGCGACTACTTGTGACTGCCGTTTTTCTGTCATCATCGTTATCATCATCACAGCCAGCAACGCCATGATCATTCTTATCACCATGGTTGTCATACAAAACGTCAGGGATCATCATTCTCCTTGTGGACAGCGCCGTCGATAGTCAGTGAAATTTACGGTCACTGTTGCACGTACGGCTCGGTAATGCTGGTACTACATTGCAACTGGTAGGAGTGACGGTGCCACTGAACGAATACTACTACCATCATCACTTCTGTTCTTGTCTTTCTTAAGGTTCTACAACCTTGTATGAGCGGTGTTCTCTTCGCTGTCAAGAGTCTTACCGGAATTACTACAAAATTTGCTATGGTTGATACTCGTTTTGCGCTTCTCACCCTCTTTCACTTCTCATTCTACTGAGTCGTCGTGCTCTCGTCACTCTCCTCACCCAAAGCTTGCCTTCATCCTGTGTTGGTTGTACTAGTAGTCGTAAGCCGTAGTTGTCTGAGTGTTTTTAAGTCTTT